GCTCAGCGTGCGTATTTTTATTAACCCGCTCTGCGGAATCCGAACCCACTGGTTTCCGTGGAAGGCTAGCTCGTGGTCTAGCTTTGGGCTGAGCGGGGACCGGAGTAGCCCAGTCCTAGTAGACTAGGAGTCTAGTCTCGGGTGGTCGAGTCCGTGGCCTGGGCGCATTCCCGAGGCCCGAGGCTCACCTCCCAGCTGTGGCGGGGGACGTGCGGGACCCGGGGGAAGCTACCGCAGGCTGGACGACAGACGCACATTTTGCAGACAATAGTAATGCTCGGCCGGCCCATCTCTCAATAGCTGTAATAATCACATATGACGATGCATGTGAAAACATGAATTCTTGCAAGGGTTCCAAAGAGTGCATAATTAATTCTCCGCGGCCCTCCGCACCTTGCCTCACCAGACCGAATTTGAGAAATTTAAGATTTTTAAGGTCAAAGTGTATGATGTTCTGAATCGGTGAAGTACCGTACTGCTGGCTAGGATGTCTTTACAACAAATGGCCCCAGCTTCCCAAGATCCAGAAAAAGAGATCATAAATAGAAATGGTATGGAAGCCAAGTGGTTGTTTCTTTTAATATTTGAAAATGGTGGTATGTTTTCATTGAGTGAGCGAAAACGCAGTCATAAAGGAAAAAAAAAAAAACGAAAACAAAAAGCAAAACCGACTTCCTTTGCCAAAATCCTGAATATTCATTTAGCCCGTGAGCACCGGGGTTGAAGACTCGAAATAAGAGAAATAAGACTGCTGGTGTGCGAGGAGCTGCGTATTTGTTTTTTTCAGAAACCTTTTCTGAAAGGCCATCATGGCAGCAAAGCCCAAGCTCCACTATCCCAACGGAAGAGGCCGGATGGAGTCCGTAAGATGGGTTTTAGCTGCCGCTGGAGTCGAGGTACCCTGTATGCTGTTTCTTCACAGATTTGTCGTACAACTTTGAGACTTTTGAGGAAAACATAAATGGCGGAGTCCTGTTCTAGCCCTCTCCCCCACCCAACACAGACATGCTTGGTTGAGTCAGAAGATTCCTTGGTTGAGTCAAAAGGGGTTTTTCTTTATAAATGGAATGTGGTTAATGGAAATCTGTTTTACTTTCCACTTTTACTTAATCATTGGCTTCTGATCTACCACCAAGAAGTATTAATAAGGAGAAGAGGAATGAACCTGAAATTTGCCAGTTAACAACTTTTCTTAATTATACAAGCTATAGGTACATTTCCTCTTCAATGGCTTCTAACTGGCAGCCTTCCTCTGCATATGTGTAGGCTTTGGCCCACAGTGGTTTTGTCTTTTTGTTGTATTCTTTTAGTTTCTTATTCATGGAAATGTTCTAGTGGGTTACAAAGGTTGGGAAACCATTGGCATAAATTTTCCTCACCCATTTTCAATTGTCATTTGCTTTGTGCTAATCTTGTTTCATCCATCTCCTCCATTTGTTTTGTGGGAGTATTGTAGTTTTTATCTCTAAAAGGTAAGGATTTTAATACAATACCATAATATCACCCAACAAAATTAGCAGTTCTTTACTAATATCTTAACAGTCTGATTACCTCAAACAGGTCTTTTTATAGTAAGTTTATTCCAGTCTGGATCTATATCATGCCCACACATCGCATTTGCTTAGGTTTCTTTCAGGATTTTTTAAATCTGTAACAATTTCCTCTGCATTTTTTAAAAATAAACTTTATACTTGGGAATAATTTTAAATTTATAGCAAAGTTATGAAGACAGTGCACAGTGTTCCATAACAGCCACTCAGTCCCTCCTGATGATATCATCTTACATAATCATGTCAAAACTAAGAAATTAACATTGGTGCATGACTAAACTACAGACTATTTGAATTTAATTAGTTTTGCCAATAATGTCCTTTACTCTTCCAGGATCCCACATTATACTTAGTCACTACGTTTCCTTAGTCTCAACCTGTGACAGTTTTTCAGTCTGTCTTTTATTTCACGACCTTGACAGTTTTGAAAAGTATTGGTCAGGTGTTTTGTAGAATTCTCCATAGTTTAGGTTTGTTTGAAGTTTTCTCATAATTGGACTGGGGTTTGGGGTTTTGGGGAAGAATAGCACAGAGGACAAGTGCCTTTCTCATTGTATCCTATTAGGGCTGATATTAACATGAGTATATCACTGGTGCTGTTAACCTTGGTCATTTGGCTAAGACGGTGTCTGCCAGGTTTCTTCATTGTAAAAGGATTTGTTCCCTTTATTTTTTGGAAACGAGTCATTAAGGTCAGCCCACGCTTAAAAGGATGGGAATTAAACTCTACCTCCTGGAGGGGGCGACATCTGTGTTTAGAATTCTTACATAAGGGAGATTTGGGTTTTTTCTTGTCCATTTATCTATTCAATCATTTATTTTTATCAGTGTGGACTTTAGTATTTATTTTGTGCTTTGGGTTATAATCCAATAATGTTTTCTTGCTCAAATTGTCCCACTTTGGCCATTAGCTCTTTCACATTGGCTCCTGCGTCACACCTGTGCACATGACTTCATCCTCCCTTTTCTTTTTTTCCCTTTAGCTCTTTCTTACTTTCTGACACTACAAGATGCTTCAGGCTCATCTTGTATTTTCCTTGCCCTGGCCTTAGAAATTGGTATTCTTCCAAGGAGCCCTGGTCCCTTTTATTAGCAAATGGTATTAGCAACCAACAGCTGAGTGCTAAGTGTCTGCATCTGTTTTTAGTGCCATTTATTTGTGGAAGAAACTACCCTGTAGAATTTCTCCCATTCTGGATTTGACTGACTTACCCTCATTTCAACATATTCTTTTATTCTTTATGTTTCCTGTAAACTAGTTAGACCCAGAGATATGATCAAATCCAGGCTCCTTTTTTCCTTTCTATCTCTAAATCTTTTTTTTTTTTTTTTCCTACCAGACTCCATCACAGGGATACTGGGTGCATATTTTTATTATACGACATCAAGGGATGCATGATGTTTGACTGTCTCCTTTTCAGCAACGCCGGCTTGATCATTGCTTTCCAGTGATGTCAGGCTGGATCCATGCATAAAGTTTCCTCCCTCACCTTCTCAACTAGTGGTTTTAGCAGCTATTTTCATCACCATTGTTAGGGATAACAAAATGGTGCCTTTTCTATTTCTGTCTATCATTTTATCTGAATTTATTAACTGTGTTTCTTTTCTGAAGAGTAGTTTTTCACTTAACTATTTAATTACTTTGAACTACAGCTCATATGGGAAGAGTAAGGTAAATGCTTGATGTAGTCTCTTAATCGATTTTCAGAATAATTAGGCATTACCGTAGTAACCTCCAAAGATGATACATGAGGGTTTTGGGGTTTGAGGTTTTGTGTTGTTTGGTTGGTTTTAGTTTTGGTTTCTTTGCATATCATTATAACTCACCATACAGTGTTTTACAGTTTTCTAAGTGAGTTGATATCACTTTTATTTGCAAATTCTGACTTCTGACTTCTCTTGAGAAATTTGAAGATCTGATTGATACTGGACCCTCATTTTCAGAGGGCAAGTAATTACTAAGTCTAAGTAAGGAAGGACTGCCACCATAGATGGTCCTTTCTAGTTCATCACAGTCCCCATTATTCCCCCATTGTCTCAGGATATGTTTTCTAATTATGTTAAGAAGATAGTGAAAAAAATTCTTGGTCCTGTGACCTGAACCTGGTTGGCTTATTGATGTCACCTACCTTTTCCCTGCATGCTTCTGAGTTTGCCGTTCTGTCTTATTGAATAGGTTTGCAATAGTTATCTTATTTGTACCTTTAATATAATCTTTTCCCAAATCTTCTCTCTTTCCAATCCTCATTCTACCTCATGCCTCCTACTCTCCTATGTATGAGTCAAGATTCTTGGTGACAGCAGTAGAAAACCAACCCTAAGTAAGTTCTACAAAAAAGAAAGTGGGTCACATAACCTACCTCCCCTAGACCAGTTGCAGTGGGCAGGCAGGTGAGGTAGAGGAATTAGCCCAGCAGGTCCCGAACCCACCTTCCAGCCAGTGTGGAGGGAAACTGCAAAGAAATGTATAAAGGAGAAACTGACTCGTGAACTCCCACACAACTTGGTAACCAAATTCCATCTAGAAGAATTATCACAGGAGGGCTACCTAGCTAAAGTCCAATCTCTTAAATAAAGATTTGTCCTTGGAGAATGGAGCTCACACTTTCAGTTGGGAAGTGAAAGTTAGTCTAGGAAAAGAGAGCCAGGTAAGTGGTAAAGACTGCAGAGTGGGAATGGCAGAGGCGGATCCCTCGAACCTGTTCTCAGATGTTGCATGCTCAGGCAAAACAAAAGGAAACAAGTTTTCTGTAGGTTTGAAAGAGTCTCAGCCATTTTTGTTACAGAATACCCTGCGTCCTGGATTTGCCTGATTTTCACCTTGCAGTTAGATCTGGCAGTATTTTTTACAGTGTTATTGTGCCCTTCTCACTGTCACGGCAGGAAGCACACAATGTCTCAGTGTCCCCCAATGGGGAGCTAAGTTTGACCACTTGGTTAGATAGATGGTGTGATCTCCCAATCTTTCCACCACAAAGATGCTTTTTTCTTTGTCATAATTAACTTGTGGGCTGATACTTTAAGGTTGTTTGAATATTCTGTTCCCCGAAAGGCAGTGATTTCAGCATCCATTTTGATCCTTTTCAGAATCAGTTGTTATATTGTAGGTTACAAATTGGTGATTTTCTAATTGTATCATTAGCACTAATTCTTCTGTTAAAAAAAAAAAAAGCTTTTCCTTCTGCCTTGTTGAATATCATCACTTAAGGACACAAGGATTTTTTTTATTAGCGTGTGTGATGATCCTTAAGTGACATTACCCGTCTGATGCTTGAATTGTCCCTAATTTGGCTAAGGACTCCCCTTCAGGTAGGGTCCTGCCTGCCTTTGCCTTTGCCATATCTCATTGGTCTTTGAGCTCTTCCTTGCTTTCTGATGTATTAGCATCAACCTTTTCTCCCAGGAGTCCAGGTTTCTTTTAGTGATACAGGGAAACCAAGATGTGGGTGCTAAGTGTGCTCCTTCTGCTTCTGAGACAGTTTAACTTGGTATTTTCAGTACTGATCCTGTAATGATATGTGTCTTCATGGGGGATATCTTTTTTTTTTTTTTTAATTTAGTTTGATGAAGAGTTCTTAGAAACAAAAGAACAGTTACAGAAGTTGCAGGATGGTGAGTATGGAAGTGAAACAACTGTTTGGTAATGCTGATTTTTCTTTTAAGAACTGATATTTATGTGGAAGGTCAAAGATGCTGCTTACACTGAACTCTCAACAGTATCCTAACACCAGGGGGGGGGAAATAGCTGAAATTGCTCTTCTCTGAGAGCTAAAGGGAGTGAACCATCAGGTGAACAGCCTTTCTCCATCCCTTTCTCCTCTCTCTGCCCCCCTCTTTTCCCGCTTTTTTTCCTCTCCTTCATACCTTCCTTCTTCATCTTCCCCACCTAGCTCCAAATTATCTGAGCCATCAGTGCCTGCTTGAGTATGCAAACAGAAGTCCTCATTTAAACTGGGCCGCATATTTGCAGTGAATACTAAACAGAAATGAATTCAGTGAAAGGCCCCCCACCTTTAACTCCTGATCAGCCCCGCTCCCTCTATGCCCAGGCTCCATAAGGAATACCTAGTGACTCTGTAAGTAGCCTCCCTCCCAGCCATCAGCAGGGTCTCTAGACCCAACTGAAGGCTGCCTCGAGAGGGACCAACTGTAATGTCACTCTTCCTGTGTGACACTGGCCTCATGTCAGTAGGCATGTGTTGAGTAATCATTTTCCCCAGACACTCATGTACCCCCAATCTGTGAGCCCCTCGAGGGCTAGGCTGTATCCTACATTTGCATCTCTCCCCAGGGCTTAGTATGTGGAAAGTGTTTGACACAGTTTTGTTGAAAAAAGCAAGTGGTTAGTTTTTGATCCATGACAGCAGACTTGGTAGTACGTGGTCTGTGGCTGTGGAACAGAAAGCCCGGTGAGTACACAGGAGTCTCAGTCGGTGACGTAGGTTTTATGATCAGATTGTTTAAAGCAGTGCAATTGATAGAACAGTCTACAGTGATGGAAATGTTCTGTTCCCAGTCTGGTGTCATAGCCGCTAGCCATACGTGCCTACTGAGCACTTGCAATGTGTCTAGCATGCTTAAGGAATCGAATTCTAAATTTGTCAAAATTTTGATTAGTTTAAGTGTAGGTTTAACTAGACACATGCAGCTACTGACTACTGACTGGGTTGGCCAGTGCAGCTCTGAAGAAATATCTTCCCCACATTCTCTCCCGCCCCTTGTCATGACTGTTGGGCACTTTTGCTGGTGTGAACATGAAAAGGGAAGGTTTTGAACAGGGCTTGTTTTCAGGCTTCTTTGGCAGTTCAGTCTGCTACCCTGCATGAAGTTGATGTCATCTGTCATCAGGGAGCTTTCCACTGTTCCCAAGGCTCTGGCCCCACCGTCCCTTTTCATTCAATAGGGCATGTTCAGGGGTTGGGGGACAGGGAAGAGATCAGTTTTAACTCTGGGCTTCCATTCTCAGGTAACCACCTGCTGTTCCAGCAAGTGCCAATGGTTGAAATTGACGGGATGAAGTTGGTGCAGACCCGCAGCATCCTTCACTACATAGCAGAGAAGCACCACCTGTTTGGCAAGGATCTCAAGGAGAGAACCCTGTACTATGGCCCTCTCAAGTGTTCTCGATTGTCACTTACTGAGACCTCAGCCGATTAGCAGTCTCTACAGCACGCCCTGCCTCCTTTATGTCTTGTATCATTAGAGTAAACCGGGAACAAAAACCAGTTGGAAAATCAGCACAGAGAGTCTGGGCAAAACAATAGAGAAGAATTGAGTTCAGATACTAGATCCTCTATTTGGGGTGTGATTGTTTCAGGTTTCAACATGTTTAAATGCTTTGATATTGCTTTTTACCTTTCTTGCAAATTTAATATCACAGAGTATTAAGAACAGGAGGCTGCTATGACATTCAAGGTCAGGAATACTGTACCTTGATTATAATTTGGATTATATTTTTGAACTCAAAGCCTGATCGTTGTACCTACTAAGATGCGTGATCCAAGGCAAAATGCTGAGTTCCACAGTCCTGCCGAGTATCCTATACAATATATTAATATCATATGCCTGATAATGAAAGTCAATTAATATGGATAATAGAGTCAATGAAATATTGGGTGGAGTGTTTAGCACCACGCCTGGTACATACCAAGCATTCCATAAATGATAGCCACTGTTTTTATAAATGTGAAATTCCACCCACACCAAGCGTGGGTTCTGGAGTAAGGATAGACAATTAGGGTCCCTGGAGAGGGGGATGTCATGGCTATTTGCTTTCTGATCTGTGACAGATTTTTTTGAATTACAGCTAAAATTGGCTTTGCATCTTTGCTCTTGAGCCAGGTATAGATAAATGCTCCCGGGTCCTTAAGTTGCCAGAGCCTTAAGAGAAAAGCACTCTGAATTCTTAGTTGTGGAAGCCGATGAGTTCAAAGAAGGGGAAACTGAGATAACTTTTTTTTTGTTGTTATTTTAAGGATTGACATGTATGTGGAGGGGACGCTAGATCTGCTGGAACTGATTATCATGCATCCTTTCCTAAAACCAGATGATCAACAAAAGGAAGTGGTTAACATGGCCCAGAAAGCTATAATTAGATACTTTCCTGTGTTTGAAAAGGTAGGTGGCAGAGCAACTCACGAACACAGCATGACCAGACTACAAGGGAGCTGTCACTGACGCCCCGCTCTGCGCTGGGCAGTGGAAAGGGGAGCCTGCTGGACTAACCTCGGGGATTCCCGAGAGCTGACAGTAGCTGTCAGAGCAAAGCCAGGGTGTCTTGAAGCCCCTCAGGCTCTACTTGGACCATGTTACTCGGAAGTCTGGAAAAAACATGGGTTCACCACATGTGCGCATTATTGTTCACCGGGTGCCCACCCTGTGTAAGATGCAGAAAAGCAGAAACTGCCTAATTCCTACCTTCTTTCATCCCATGAACATTTGGGGAAGGGCCATTGTATACCAACATCCTACCTGATAATTTGGTATGATGAGAAGACCATTGTTTTATTTTTCTCCCCTTTGCTCTCTTTGCTTCCTGTTTTGTTATTTTCCTCATCTTGTTAATATATCTGCTTTCCTGGGCTTCAGACTCCTGTTTTTCTCAACTAAGAGCAATTGTTTTAAATGTTTCTGTTAAAAAAAGAAGAGAGTGTAAACGTACGGAATTGGCAAATCTCTGGCCGTCTTTGTAGAATTAGATTTAAGAAGGAGAGGTATTCTCTGGGTTTTTCGGTCACTTGGTTTCATGGTCTCTCACCCACAGGCACTTTGCAAATGTAAAATATGATAATGTAGAAATGTGGTGTGACAAGGGAGGAAGAGGTGCCTTGGTGAGAGGTCACTGCTGGTTCTTAAATTCCTATGGCCCAGACTGAGTCAGCTCCTAATACATACATGAGCTAAACATTTTTAGTTTTATTTTTTTTTAATTTTTATTGTTTTTTACACATAATGGAACGGAATCACAGAGAGACTGAACAACATGCCTAATGTGGGGAGCTGGGATTGGGAACCCTGGCCTCTGACTGCAATTCTGGATTCACTGTGCTCTCCCACTCTGGCTCCAGTAGCTATACTTGATTGGGAGTTGTATGTAGAGCCCCTGTCT